CTTTATGTCAAAGATCCTTGAGAAAGTAGTCACAGACCAGCTGTGTGATTTTCTCCATGATAATTTACAGTATTTGAAGAATTTCAGTCAGGATTTAGAGTGCATCATAGCACTGAGACAGCACTAGTTAAAATTACAAATGATCCCCTGATTGCTTCAGACAAAGGACTCCTCTCTGTACTTGTTTAGTGCGGCATTTGACACAACTGACCATCAAATTCTGCTACAGAGACTGGAACATTTAATCGGCCTATAAGGTTCTGCACTAAGCTGGTTTAAATCTTATTTATCTGATCGTTTTCAGTTTGTTCATGTTAATGATGAATCATCTCTATGTAGTAAAGTTTGTTTTAGAGTGCCACAAGGTTCTGTGCTCGGACCAATCCTATTCACTCTATATATGCTTCCTTTATGTAACATCATTAGAAATCACTCAGTAAATTTCCATTGTTATGCGGATGATGTACAATTGTATTTATCGATAAAGCCAGAAGAAACTGATCAATTAACTAAACTTCAAAAATGCCTTAAAGACATAAAAACTTGGATGAGCACCAATTTCCTGATGTTAAATTCAGACAAAACTGAAGTTATTGTTCTTGGCCCCAAACAACTCAGAGACTCTTTGTCTGATGATATAGTTTCCCTGGATGGCATTGCTCTGGCCTCTGGCACTATCGTAAGAAACCTCGGAATAATATTTGACCAAGATTTGTCTTTTAATTCCCATTTAAAACAAACCCCATGGACTGCGTTTTTTCATCTGCATAATATTGCGAAAATTAGGCCTTTCCTGACCCGAAAAGATACAGAAAAATTGGTCCACGCTTTTGTTACCTCAAGGCTGGATTACTGTAACTCCCTATTATCAGGTAGCTCTAATAAGTCTTTAAAAACTCTCCAGCTAATCCAGAACCCAGTGGCATGTGTACTAACAGGAACTAAGAAACAAGATCATATTTCTTCTGTTTTAGCTTCTCTGCACTGGCTCCCTGAAAAATCAAGAATTGAAATTAAAATCCTACTGTTAACTTACAAAGCTTTAAATTGTCAGGCTCCATCAAATCTTAGAGAGCTCATAGTGCCCTATTATCCCACCAGAACACTGCGCTCTGAGAATGCAGGGTTACTCGTGGTCCCTAAAGTCTCCAAAAGTAGATCAGGAGCCAGAGCCTTCAGCTATCAGGCTCCTCTCCTGTGGAATCATCTTCCTGTTGCGGTCCGGGAGGCAGACACCGTCTCCACATTTAAGACTAGACTTAAGACTTGCCTTCTTGATAAAGCTTATAGTTAGGGCTGGCTCAGGCTTGCCTTGTACCAGCCCCTAGTTAGGCTGACATAGGCCTAGTCTGCTGGGGGACCTCCTATAATACACCGAGCACCTTCTCTTCCTCTCTCTCTCTCTCCCTCCTTTGCTAACATTCATGTTGAAGACTGTTTCCTGGTCAAAATGTGTTTCCCCTTACATAAACCTGAGCCAAACCCTTAGCCCTACAGCTATCCACCGAGGGGAGCACTATCCATTAACAGAGGGAAAACACTATTTAACAGGGGAACACATTTTGATACAACACTGGCACAAATCATGGCTAGCTTGCTAATATTAGTTACCATTTTTAACCTTCTTTTGTACAGCAATTGCAAAATCATTTGCAGATTTATTTTGATCTCTTCGGAGACCGACAACTACACATTAAATTGACAACTTGCCAAAGACAAAAAGGTAAAACAAAATTCAACATGTCATCAAAAGGTAAACATGTACAACAGGTTGCAATCTCACTCTCCTTTTGTCTGTCCCTGTGTACGTCCCATACATTGGTCAGTTCGTTCAGCGCAATGTATGATGGGATATAGTGCTTGTTTAGTTACCATTGGTTGTACACCATGGATGCATTAGCAGAACTAGAAACAGCATTTGTGGCAGGGCCCTATTCATTCCACATGAACTCAAAAGGGTTCATCTGCCACGTATAAAATTACCCGAACACTACTTCCACATTGCGCGGACCTAGAGACTTACAGTGGCCAAGAGTGACTAAGTGCAACTGAGCATCTATTTCCACCAGCTGTTGGGATTCACTTGACCACAGATGATTTGTCTTTTGTTAAAATCCAAACTGGACATGTGAATGCTTTTCCCTCTGCGTCTTGCCATCTGAGATAGTGATTGAGACTGCATGTTATTTGTTCTTCAAGCAAAGGACAGCCGTCTCCACAGGGTGCCTCAGTGTCACACCTAAGAGACCAGTCGGCAAACTCGATTGGACAGTACTTTCACATCGACATGCGACTCTGTGATGTCACCAAGCAAACTTTACGAAAAGTTCTGCTCTCTTCACGGTCTCTGTCCGCTCTCTCCTGAGCCACTGACTGGATCAGACTCTTGCTCTTGCCCCTGAACCTTTGAAGGGGGCACTTGCTTCTAGACTGTTGCTCTTTCTCCTGAGCCACTGACCGGCTCTTGCTCCTAAGACTCTTGTTCTTTCTCCTGGACCATGACCATATTAGGATGTACGCAGGAGGACCTGCTACGCCCTTCCCCCATTCTCTCCTCTACATTCAACAGAAGAAGCAGAACCTGGAGACCAGAGAAAAATAGTGTGCCAAACACAAGGTTTGCAACTAACTTTCCAGCAACAAGGAGAATCAAGTTGAGTTAACACCCCAACGTCTAACTCTGCAAAGACACGAGCGACCGGCCTCCTCGGATCTGCATCTTCTGAACAAGGACACAGCAAAGACTGTATCTGGCACCACAGCTCTTTCCAGCCTTCCCCTGCCGGCTAACAAAAGCAGCACACCACAAACCGACTCTTTCTTCCATCCATTCAAGAAGTGGTAATGTAACAACTGGGCAAAGCATTATTACAGTTGTATAGGCTAAGCAAGACCGTTTAACTTTGTCAGTTGTGATCTAATGCAGATATCAAATTATTGTTGCAATTGTTTTCAGTAAGGTTATTGGTTAGTTGGCTTCACCAAAGCTAAGTGATGTTAGTTTGCAAATGCTTTTTCACAGACAGCCTTGCATGCAACTAAACATCCTCTGTACTCACCCAGAACCTTTGCAACACATATCGTATACACTCGCTCACAAGTTGGCTTTCAACATAGCTACATCCAAAGAGGCAATTCAAAGTTCCTGCTTCTTTTCCTTTGTCTTTGTTCTGACAGACCACACAGTCAGGCAAAACCTCCCCTGATTTTGGTTATAGTTATAAATTTAGCTATTAAGCAAAGTTCCAAATTGATAGTTTAGTGAATTTATGAGACTGACATCATTGACCAGCTATCATTTTTCCCTTTTCAGGAATGGTGCCCCATGAGGTGATTTAATATAAATGAAGTCACATTTTTTAACATAATTAATAATTATCATTAATAATTATTAAGTATTTCCGATAGCCATTTTGATACTTAAATTGGAGATCTATTACAAGGCTTAGATCCCAACACAGCAAAATGGCTAACTTCCTGTTTAGCGCTTCGCTAAGTTGAATGTGTGAAGATTTTTGGGCAGCTGTGGCTCAGAAGGTAGAACGGGTTGCCCACAATCCCCAGCTCCTCCAGTCCGGGTGTCCAAGTATTCTTGATAGGTGAATGTGACGAGCAGTGTTAAAAGAGTTTGAGTGGTCAGAAGACTACAAAGGCATTATACAAGTGCAGGTCCATTTACCATTTAACTCTGCAGCTCTTCTAGACTTTTGAGATGTTATCAGACCAAATGGATAGAATCCTGATAGTGAAACGTGTCATTTCCGGAGGTTGTGTCGCTAAAATAAATGCATCTACTAATTTACTGACGTCTCTTTCACAATGTAAGTCTTTGGGAAAAAAGTATTTTTTGGCTGCAGGGCATCTTGTGACGGAACCCAATAATTGCAGTACCACTGTCTGGCCACTATGAAAATTGGCTTCAAAGCCTGGTGCAAGTTCTGGGGGCCTGTTCTTCACTACTTTTCATGAAGCTTTCTGTGATACTTTGAGTTGACTATAAAGGTTATATGAATTACATACATATAGTACATTTAGACAGCATTACAAAATGGCAAACTCACTCTATAGTGGACTATACGGTGAGTACTAAGGGATTCTGGACATTGTCTAAATGTTGTTTTTCTATGTCAAGCTGATGTTGGCATGTGATGTTTGGAAGATGTTGGATTTTGCTTACTTAACAACACAACTTAAAACCAACAAAATATCAATCTCATCTGTCATCAGTATTGACATTGGCACGTTGCACTGACATTGAATTTTGGCGACCCAATGTCACAACCTGAATTCAACCAAATATCAATACCAGTTTGGTTTGAGTGACTTGAATCTGGTTCCCCTGAATCTCATTCATGAGTGCATGGGTTCCAAGTTTTCATAGAACAGGCTGAGAACAAAGCCACATGACAACAGTAACATCTGGCTCAGGCTCCAGAGATGATTACTGTGCTGATCTGTAAGAACTTATCCTGCAAGGCCTCTCTCCCTATTGTACACACACATGCACGAACACACACAACAAGCACTGTGGGCACATGCATGTACACATGCACAGATTGGCATAGCCAGATGGCAGAGTCTCTTTGACTGTCACCTAAATCTTGGCAGAATAGCTGTTGGTATGTTTGGGATTGCAAACACACAAAGACCTTCATTTCTTCCATTTAAAGTTGGAGGGTCCTATTTGGCTCTGTGACTTGGGTAGTTTGCAATAATATTATAACTTCCTTCTTGTACAAACACACAAAAAGCAGGACTTGAGCAAAAGTCCATCATTTAAATAACAAGGAGAGTCAGTCAGTTCTTTAGTTGAGCATTGAGTTACAGTTGGTGAATGTGGAAAAAAAGCAAAATGGAGTGAGAAAATATTTCTTGCTTTTAGGAGAGTACACTTCAGACAGAATAAGGCAGATCCTTCCTTAACTACAGAAGTAAACATAAAAATAGGACACTAGGTGATACTGTCAATGACTTTTCTACTCAGCGGAATATGTGCGTACCTGTACCACTCCAGTCCCCGTGCGTAATGCCGGTCGAAGAAGTGCGGCTCTGAGCCCAGGGCACGGATGTCTGGGTGGAGTCGGAGAAACTCCAGCAGAGCCCTGGTGCCTCCCTTTTTAACCCCTATGATCAGAGCCTGGGGTAACCTCCGGGTGGCTGTCCAGTCTTTCGCCGAGCTGTTCGCCTCCAGCCTGGGATAACCGCTGAGCGCGCCTTCGCCAACCGCGACTGTAAACTCCTTGGTCACACTGGATCCGTTTCTCTCGTACGGCCATCCTGACCCTGACACAAGGAATTCATGTGTGGATGGCTTGATTTCCGACTTTTCTATTAGCTCCGACTCGCAGCATCCGGTGAGGAGATAAACCAAGGAGAAGCACAGGATGCTCAGAGAGGACGCGATGGTGAGCCGATGGAAGAGCCGCCGCAGGTCCGCGCTCGGATGGTGGTGATGATGGTGGTGGTGAAAAGCTGCCATCCCTCAGAGATCCAGGTGAGATAGGGTGCCATTCTACCCCAAGTGCAGCTCACACCCCTTCATACTCTAACGCCGTCAACACAGCGCTTACTCTTGGAGAGTCTCTCTCAGTGCGCTCCGCTGCCTCCCTCCTCCTTCATGTTGCGCGTCCGGAGCGCACCGAACCCCCCCCCCCCCCCCATCATGTTAGCCTTAGTAAATGAGAACTAGTTTTTGCGTGACATGCCGTGTGTGAGCCCACTTAATTAAGCTCTAATGCCTGAGCCGGACTACTGCCGCTATTGTTCTCTCTTTCCACTCCACGGGATTACTCTGCTGCTCTCTCTACCACGGCTCATCCCACAGGGGTTCCATCCAGCCAGGGATCTCTCTGTCTGTGTCTCTCTCTCTCTCTCTCTTTCCCCCTCACACACTCTCTCTCTCTCTGTCTTTCTCTCTAGATGACTTGGATGGCCTGTGGTGTGTATAATTCCAGTACTATTTATTGGGGGATGAGACAGATCCAGTGGGTAGACGGTGGTGTCCTATACACTCATATGTGTCATTATCACTCTCATCTAGAGTGACTGATCTCGATTCTGTCACATATTACGATGTATGCTCTGCAGCTATGTGCCATTATCTCTTGTGTCTTACAGACACTTTTAGAAATTCTCTGATCAGTGGATCCAGAAATGGATCTATGAGCAGGTAAACAGGGTTCACTGGTGCCATTTGAAACTGGGTTTATCACACACTCAGCTGACACTGCGCTCTAAGACCAATCACATAATTGGCTTAGTGGTCAGACGGCATTACTGTATGGTGCAGCTGCCAGTAGTCAGCTGATCCCGACCTCAAAGGGCAAGACCCACATCATGTAGAAGTGTCTTACGATCTTAGAATCAAATTAACAATGTGAGTTGCAGTAATTCCACTTGAGTCCCTATCACATTTTCACCCACTTCAACAAAAACAACGTTATAATTATAGAATTTTAAACAACTGACACGTTCTGGAAAAAAAAAAAACAATCTGCTGATATACTGTTTTTAATCAAAGAAAAGGTTTGACTTCATTAGTGGATGCATTAGCAGAGGTGTGTGTTGTGTGTTGCAGTCTCCTGTTAGGGAGCTCTACAATGTTGGCTTTTATTATTGCAGAGTGCGAAGCTAAGGTATGGATAATAGCTCATAGGAGACTCATTAGTTCCCCCTTCCAACCACACATGCACATGCACATGCACGTACTTGCACACACACACACACACACATTCATTCACACACACACACACATAATTCATGTTCCATTTGGCTTACCCCTGTCATTATCCCATGGCAGATGTGACCCGTGCCATAAAACCACTGCAGTGTCCTGCAATGAGAGACTAAAAGATCTGCCATCCAGTTTCAACAACAAGATAAAACTTTGTTTCCTGTATCTATAACAAGCAGACAAGGCAGTCCAACAACACACTCACCAGATATGACAGAATAAACTGTATCCCTATGTATATAATATGTGAGCTATATTATGATTTTATGACAATGTAATTACATTTGTATGCCATTATTTTTTATTAGTTTTCATCTAGGCTAAATAAAAGAGTAGATATAATCTAGTCTGATAAATATGTAGAGTACTATTAGCTAGGGATGCATGATATTGAATTTTTTGCTGATATCCGATATGCCAAGACATAATAACTCATTTGGCTGATAGGTAATATCAATATTGAAATATCCACTTTTGTTTCCCCAATTAACATCATATTAGGCATGCATGCTCTTATTGTGATGGCCCGCCAGCAGATTGGGACATGAAATACAATGCTTTTCGGTGAATGTAATATTCATTTTCTTCTATTCATAGATAAGTTNCAGTGCTAGATAATAATGGTTGGCACACAAAATATTGACACTTTAGGCACAATTTGGACATGTTCACTGTGGGGTGTACTCACTTATGTTGCCAGCTGTTTACATGTTGATGGCTGTGTTTTGAGTAATTTTCAGAGGAAGGTAAATCTATACTACTATACAAGCTGTACACTGACTACTTTAAGTTATGTCAAAGTGCCATTTCTATAGTGTTGTCCCATGAAAAGATATAATGAAATATTTGCAAAAATGGGATGGGTGTTCTCACTTACGTGAGATACTGTATATGTATATACTATTCCATAAATATAGGATTTGAGTGTGTGAAATTTATAGTTATTTTGTACAGATAATTTATTTTATTTTTTTTACTTTGTGTATTAAAAATATGATTGCATTATCTACGAATACAGATTAGGGGGTAGAATTATAAAAGTTTTTGCTTCATTCCACTCCTTTTCGAGGATGTTGACTTATGTTTGATGTAACTTTTCTTTTTAATTGTTTGTCGTTTGTTTTGTTCTTTTTATTATTATTTTCTATTATTAATAGTATTATTTTCTTCTTCACTTACTTTTTTGACTGATTTCAGTGCTGTATGGTTCACATGTTCGAAATTAAAAAAAAAAAAAATATTGTGCATTGTGATGCATTTACAGTTCATTTAAAAGCTGATATCGGCGGATACCACTGACATGCCGATATTCTCAGCATGTTGGATGGTCCAGATAATTTTAAAGCCAATATCAGCTGATACTGATGACATACAGTAGCTGACATTATGACATAAATGATAAATGGTAAATCGGGCTAATGTAGCAGCTAAGATGCCACTAGCATGCGGGGCTCCAGCTAATATACTGACTGAAGTATCTTCTATTGTTCTATTTCATTAGCTGTCACTATACAGCACTCATTCAACATATCTGAGTTTTCATCCACAAACAGTAGACAAAGACTGGTTGAGAGATTTTGGTTTCAAATGTGAGCAACAACAGATAATATGGGGTTACATCTATTGATTTTATGTTGATTAGAGACTCCTTGGTTTTGGAGTTTTTGTTCTGTATGTGTTATGTTTAAGTGACTTGTTGTTCAGGCAGGTTAAAGGTACATCTTTACATCCCACGATGAGTACTCCTTTCAAAAGTAGAAGCTATGGCTAGTGGTTTAGAAGTCCAATTTACATCTTGGAACTGCAGAGGATTGCGAAAACTTAAAGTAAATCAAGCAATAGGAAGATTAAAAGATAAACAGTCTAAAATAAATTTTCTACATGAGACGCATTTAGCAATGAATGAAAACACTAGAGTTAGGCGGAGGTGGCAAGGGGAAATATTTTCTGCACCGTTTACAACACAGTCTAGGGGGGTTATGCCACTTGTGCATAAGTCCATCCCACTGAAAGTTACCAACGTAATAGCAGATAAAAGGGGCAGATACCTGATAATTCAGGGCAATCTATACACAGAATATTTAAATTTGGTCAACATTTACGCACCTAACAATGATGACACCAGCTTTTTCAGAAACTTTCAGAAACTTTCTTCTTACTCTGTCAGCTAAGCGTGTACGTCATCCCGTGTATTGTTCTGATTGGTCATAGTGTTATCCAATTGCGTACAGTGATATTTACAAATGCATGCTTGGTGCCGCCCCTCGAGTTGGGCCATTTTCATTACTCATGGCCAGACCCCAAATCTTTCTAGATTTGGGTCTGGATTTCCAGGCTACCGTTATCCCTGGGGATAACGGTAGCCTGAGGAGCTGGTTGGTAAATTCGGTGTCCCCCATAAACATTTTTTTAAATATCTTCAATTAAGGAGTTATGTTAAGGGTAACATGAACCAATCCTTGAATTGTCCCCTTAGAAAAAGTTCTTAATGCTTTTGGAAGGGGTATAATTTCAGTTTTACAACATGTTAACAGAACATTCCCGGGATTCCTCAGATTCTAAACTTAAAGCATGGAAGTCAGACCTACAGGAGGACCTAACAGTGGAACAGTGGCGTAGGATATGTAAGGCAGCTCATACTCAAACAGGTAATACATACCTAAAACTTCTACAATTCAACTGATAACACCAGAAAAATTAAACAAATTTAACAGCAACATTTCTGACTTATGCACCTGATGTGGTGAAGATAAAGGTACGCTTTTCCACTGTTTATGGTTGTGCCCAAGAATCAGGGAGTTTTGGAAAGAAGTTGATTTAACTATCCAGGAGATTCTTTCAATAAAATTAGATCGGGAATCTAAACTTTTCTAATTAGGCCTTTACCCAGAGAGGCACAACATAAAACAACATGAACAACTCTTTCTCAACATGTGTTTATGTATCATAGTTAAAAAAAGTTCAGGTTAAATCCAGCTAAATGGGACAACTACGCCACCTGCTGTCACAAAGTTTTACCTGCATGAGTACTAATAGCAAAGGATTATGGGTAATCCTCAAAGCAACATGAGGTAACGTGTCTGTGAATGTCCGTGGGCAAAACAATGTTAACTAACTTGATAACTATGTAAAAGTTTAGCTGGCTTCACTTGGTTAGATATTGTGTGTGCTAGAATATTTTCACCATGTTTTTCTTAAGTTGACTATACGTTTTTTATGTGTTTTATCGTTACTAAAAAGCTCCACTGTGTAGCTAGTAATCGTTAACACGATGCCGTCTTTCCAGACAGAACAGGTGCTGGTTGCCCACGAGATGACGATTCTACTCTACATTGTCCTTTGTTATGAATGCAGGTATGTTACAGTATGTCGCTCTATAATGTTATATTTGAAATATGCAAATGTGTTACGTTTTGCGGGTTGTTTGCTAACTGTGTTTTGTACTGTATTTGTTATTTCTGAAGATGTGAAATACTGAAAAAGAGGTAATAATAATAATAATAGATTTTATTTGTAATGCACTTCTCATCCTTGGATCTCAAAGTGCTACAGGTTTAAAATATAAAAACATATGAAAACCCCCCCTATAATTAGCTTAAATTAACAGTCAAGGCCTTTTTGAATAAAAAGGTTTTCAGGCTTTCTCTAAATGAGTACAGTGGGGTAACAGTCCAGTGTTATAAATTTGCATTATTGTAATATTGTAATATTTTCTTGTATCTTATCCTCACATAAATTAAAAGGGGGACAGTTTGTTTTCTTAGATTTATTTTATTGACTAAATCCACTATACGATCACAATATTATATTGTACTGAGTGTATAAGATGTATGGATGGGTAATCCTCAAGCAACGGAGGATTTACGATGAGACAGAGCATGCGTTGGTTGTCCACAAGATGACGA